AAACCTAATCCAACGTGTATATACAGCTATTTCAAAAAACTTTGTCGGGTTGAATGCTGAATGGCGATTGTCGAAGGGAGATTGCACGTAGTTCYGYGTAGTGGTTYTTGTTTGTCATAAAGTGCTGTCAGGTGTTGCTTTTGACATTCCCCACAGTTCGGCGGTGTTTTCTTGCAATCGGTAGCATGCTAAGTTCAGAGCTGATAGTAGTCGCTTGGCTGCTCCATTGACATTTTTACGTTCTGTTCAGGGGCAGATCCAGGATTTCCTCAGGGGAGGGGTGAAGGGCTGTCAGGAGGGGGTACACCCCCGACAAAAATCATTACCATGAAGATACAAAATAAGGAAGGTATTGAAGGATTGAGATCTCAGGAGGGGGTTTGCACCTGGATCCGCGCCCCTGCTGGTTAAGGAGAGAATCGCTGTTCTTGTTTATGGATTGGATATTTTCGTTGCTTTTCCAAGGTGTGTTTCTACTGGACTAGATGGCTTGTAGAAGTGCCGTCTGTGCTGTCCATCTGATATATAGGCCTTTTGTAATAATATTAATGTTAATATAGCAAAAGGGGATTCCATATATTTCTCCATATAACCACCTGGACATCATCATAGGACAAGGGACCATAGGGTAGGTTATATATCACTTAGATAGAGTTATGTTTGTTTACAGAAATTAATGATAATAATAATAATATAAGCTTTTCTAGCGCTTATATAGCTTTCTCTAAGCGCTTTAAATAGTAAAAATGATTAAAATAAAAAGATAAAATAGAGATTTACAATGAAAATACAGTTAGTTAGAGATCATTACTTCTCTATACGTCAACAAATAAGCCACTATAATTGCAAAACAATTTTAAAGAACCAGTCTGATTTCATAAATCAAGCAAGCATGATTTTTTTGGTTGGCATGCTCTGTTAAGCTGATGACACTTTCTCAAAATTTCCACTCCACTTTTCAAGTTTTATTATAATTGTAACTTTGTCAAAGAATTTGAGCTCTGGCACTCATAATTTATTTTTGTAGATGTGAAATTTATGAAGATCTTCCATCAGTAGATGTTGTGATTGTCTCTGTTGGTGGAGGTGGGCTGATTAGTGGTATTGCATCCTACTTGAAGTCTGTCAAACCAGGCATTAAGGTTAGGAAGTCCATATTAGACTGCAATATTAATTTGTATCATAAATCCCTTTAAGTGAAGATCCAGACTGGTGTCATCAGATCATGATGTCCAAATGTGCTACCTATGTGCTAACCTATRCAAACATTAATTTACTGTGTATAGTCCATATCACAAGCCCGCCATTTTGAATGGTTTTGYAATGTATCATGGGATATAWATCTCCCTTTCTTCATCAAAACAAATCGAGTAAAATCGTAAAAACACTAATTAGTTTCGATTTTTCTTTTCATTTTTGCTTGATTTGCCTAGTAAATGGAAATTCTTGATTAACTGTACATTTTTGGAGGTTTTTCTTGCTGTATTTCCTTGCATGTTGGTATTTGTTTGTTTTTTCGCTTCTGAGATTAACTACAATATCAATATTTCCCAATGTTTTTCGAAAACTGAGTCTACGTTACAGACAACTGGAGCACTGACATCGTTGTTCACTTGTTTACTCATTTATCAATCCCAAAATGCACTGCGTCACAAGGCTTTCCGCGGGTTGCGATATGGACTATGCTACTTCAAAAAATACTAAATATTTCAATTTTCAGTTGTCAAATTCTAAACACCAGCATTCTCCAGTCTCTCGTGTCGTGGTTATAATTTACCAATAATTTTACGTGTTTTAATGTTTATATAGATTGTTGGCTGTGAAGCAGTGAAATCATGTCCAATGCAAGAATCTGTGAAGGCTGGTAAAGTTGTAACTGTTGAAGTCAGTCCAACTTTGTCGGATGGAACTGCTGGCGATGTGGAACCAGGAGCGGTACTTTAAATATTGTGCTCTTCTTTATAGAATATTTCCAATGCAGCAAGCTTTTTCTACCTAACAGTATTTGATTACATTATTTGACTCACCACGAGACCTTATTTAAGTAATTCCAAAAATGATGAAGACTGTAAGTCTTCATTGATAACCGTTTACACTGCAGAGATGTAGGACATGTAGTGATGGGAGCCTATAGAGCCTGCATGCTGTCGTGGAATAGGCCTTTACAGTCACATGGTACTAGTCCGCCATGATGCTGGATGGCAAAATACCCACTGAGATGTTCCAAAAAACAGAAGTCAAGCTTGGCTCAAGATTGGCTGCGTTTCTTTAGTTTTTGATTTTTTTGCCATCCATTATAATGGCGGGTTTAGTACCAGTGACAGTTTCATGTAAAAGGTCTACTGGGCTTGATGTTAGCTCTTATATACTGTAAACTCTACATGTAGTCCACAATATTGTCCAATTGTTGAAAGTCAAATGTTTGGTTTACCCCACTCTTGTTGCACACTTGATAATGTCAATTGATCCATTTCAGATAACATTGGAGTTTTGTCAAAAACTAGTGGATGACTGGGTACTTATCACCGAAGACGAAATCAGTAGTGCTATCTATAACACTTTAAAATATCATCATAAGGTTTGACCAATAAAAATTATGAAATGAAAAACTATTGTGAGCATAGTTAATATAATAGTTAACTATGTTCTGAGTCTAAAACATTTTTTTTGGTGTTGTTTCCAGATAATAGAAGGTGCAGCAGGATTGGCTGTAGCAGCATATATTAAGACAATGGACAAATACAAAGGCAAAAATGTGGTGATAATTTCGTGTGGACGTAACATAAGTATGCAGAAATTGAAAGCCATCATTAACAAACACAATGATTGATGTACTTTGGTATCTTGTATTAAAGTCTAAGCTGGTGTGTTTTAAGCCTGTGAACAAAAGAAAAGACAATTGGAATGAAGTCAAGCGTGCATCGATATAAGCATAGTAACAAATAACATAAGGCAGAGCATAAGCTTAAGGAATAAACAGAGAAAAACACCTTCCTTTTTGTCTTCTTAATCCTTTTAYATACAACAGAACCCAGGTGTTAAGTTTTTCATAATTTTGAATTCATGRAGCACTAGTACTGTTTTTTATTTTCCATTTTCCGAACGGGTTTCTGAAACTGAAAAGCTATTCAAGTTGTCTTTGTCTGCTATGCTACGTCATTGAATACTCTGTTGAAGGAATGTAATTAAAACATAGTCAACGGGAAAATGTCATTTGGTAAAAAGGAATGATTGTGATTGGTTGTGATTGCCATATAAAAGCAATCAGTCCCCGCATGTTTCGATGAAAATCAGGCCAGAATCGCTGAACGCTGTCATAGTTTATCTTTCCTGCACCCGACTGATTATAATAGGAGACCATTTGCACCGATCACAAATCCAAATGCTGTGGGAAACATTGTTAATCTAGATCAAGCAGCGGACGGGGCAATCGCAGATGATCATGGAGATGCACCAGAAATTCCATTGCCCGATCAACAAGCTTACCGTGATCGTGTCCCTCAAAGGATTAGCTCGCTAGCAGACTGTATTTTTTCGGGAGAAAAGGGGCAAGGGACAGGCCTTTGACATGGTGCTTAATCTGAAAATGGTGGCCACAAACAAATCGTCCAAATCAGGATATTGCAAAACAGTCTTTCAGATAAAAAAAATGTCGAAAGTGAAAAAAAGGATGAAGCACTGTTCGCCTGTTAGTTGTTGTTTGTAGAACGAGAGTGCGTGTTTTATCGGGATATATAGATTCGAGCCGCATGCTATATGAACACTTATAATCACAACAACACAACGCGAAACTTCAATTAAAATATCAGCCGTATAATCTAGCTGATAAGTGTAGCTGGCTATAGTTGAGCTCCGAGGAAGACGTGTGCATAAACGCACGTGCACTTCTCAACTAAATTGCACGTGCACACTAAAGGCCGTGTCACACTGGCGTTTTTTTCGTGCAGCTTGTGTGGCGCAAAAAAATGTTGAAGTTGCACGAGCGTTTTTTTACGTGTGACACCCCCTCATGCAACTTGAACATTTCATTTTTTTGTTGAGAGAAAAGTAGAACTGGCTTCTACTTTTTTCAACATTTTTCGGAAAAACGCGTGTGTGACATGGTCTCTTGCAACTTCCAAA